AGTTTATAACAGGCCACAAGATCCCTCCTCAGCCTTCTCTTTATATTTATATTTATCTTTAACACTAACTTAAAGAGAGAACTGCACCATTATTTATTCGGTTTAATTTCCTTAACTTTGAAACTTACTTGAAAAGTAAAATGCATAGTTACATTTACTGTATTAGACTCTACTGCAGGGGCAGGCAATTATTTCAGCTGGAGGGCCGCTTAACTGGTTTTGGTGAGCTGTTGAAGGCTACAAGGGTAGCCCTGCCCCTTGACTGGTGCCCCGCTCCCCAGTCACCATCTTGGGACCAGAAATCCTGCCTTTGCCACCAGAAGCCTTTCCCCTTGCCCTCAGAAGTACTCCTTTTGGGAAGGGGGTTTGCCATCTTGGAACTGGAAAAAAAACCAAAATTGTGTACTAAAAATCAAACATCCGAAATAACATATTTTAATTTTATTTTTAAAAAATATTTTTGTCCTGATTTCTGTGTGCATTTGCATCATGTATATAGAGGTGACTGCCTAATATCTCAAAATAAAGTCTTACTCTTGTATACTGTGGGAGGTGGGAGGTATGGGTGGGTGAGTATGGGATTTGTGTGGATATATGGGGGGGTGTGGATGCGGGTGGGTAGGTATAGAGGGTTTGTGGGGGAATGTTTGGGGGGATGTTTGTGGAGGGGGAGAGGGGCTGAGGGTATGGAGGTGCACATAGCAGCGAGCAGGCTCCCCCCCCAGAGGCTTGTGGGTCTGTATGTGGGGGAGTGCATGTGGAGAGAGGTGCAGTTTGTGGGGCATGTGATTGTGTGTGGGGGGAGGGGTATGGAGAGGTGTGCATGGGAGCCTCCTCCTCATGTGCCACACTGAGCTGGTCAACCTCTGCCTTGGAGCCCTCACACCCTGCAGTGCCTCCCCACCACGGCCAACAGCGTGCAGCCATGCTCTGCCCTGCCCTGCCCTGCCCTGCCCTCCCCACGTCTGCTCCAAACTCGCCCAGGCAGGAACGGACCAGCCAGAACCCCCACTCAGCCCTGATCCCAGCCAGCCCCATGCCTGGTCCTCTGCCCTCCTGTGGTACATCCGGATGCCTACTGGGCACACAGCAGGGCTTGGGCAGCTCCACAGTTGGACTCCCTTTCTAGGCAGCCCAAGTGGCGGCAGCTCCTTGGGGCTGCCACCACCCCTGGCCCCAGCCCCGTGGTACTGATGGGAACCTGCCCACACAGCACTGACTCAACCCGCACCTGCTCCAGACTCGCCCGCCCTTGCTGAGCAGCAGCAGTGGCAATGGCCAGGCAGAAACTGCTGCTCAGCGTGGGGGGAAAAGCAGCCCCTCCCCCTCAGCATTGCTGGGCACTTCTTGCTGCAGCTACCTGGAGCCCGCACAGGGTTGGCATGCACCTCCACCACCATTTCCAGGCTGCCCAGCAGGGCAGCAGTGGCAGTGCAGAGAAGCCGCAGGGCAGCCCAGGCACGGGTTCCAAGCAGCTGCAGCAAGAAGGGTCTGGCAGCAGCAAGGACGAGGGGCCACTTTTCCCCCATACTAAGCAACAGTTTCTGCCTAGCCGCTGCTGCTTGTTCCATCACTGTTGCTCAGCCTGGGTGAGTGAGTCCAGAACAGACATGGGGCAGGTCAGGCCTGTGCATGTGGGTCCCCGCCAGTACCGCGGGGCTGAGACCAGCAGTCGTAGCAACTGGAAGAAGCCACAGCCACTGCCTGGGCTGCCTAGAAAGGCAGACTAGCGACAGAGCTGCTCTAGCTCTGCTGCATGCCCAGGAGACAACAGGAGACCCCACGGCCGGGTGGTGCCTGGGCCATGCGGGACCAAGGGACCCATCACAGGCCGGACAGAGCCCCTCCAATCCAGTCTGCAGGCCATATTTTGCCCAACCCTGCTCTACTGCATGTGGTAGTCATTGAGGGATTTGACACTACTGGCATAAGGTTTTAGTAGGCAACTTTTAGTATAGAGTTATTCCTTTTAAAAATTAACCCTTGCCCTACCCAATGCATATTTAAATACATTACATAATATCAAATAATACTATTCACTCTGCATCTGTGTGAGGGAACAGGCTTTGGCTCTGCATTTAAATTTAGCTCAGTTGTAATATGGCCAGCAGCAATCCCCTGCATGTTCACCCCAATGTAATATGCTGTTACAAGTCCCTCTGCGCTGTTTAAAGCTCAGTTAATATTCCCATCAAGGATCAAATCACTATTTAACTCACTCTTAAAGGTCCCGTTGATTTATGTTAGAGTAACTGGAAACAGTATTTGGCCAACTGACTGACAGACCTGAATAAATTCAGATTTGAGGATTTGATCCTTAGCAAAGGACTACATTAGTATGAGGGCTTGCCCCAGACTGGGCATTTATTCCTTCCTATAGAAACACCCAGAACATGGCTTTACTTTATTTCATTCACTAAGGGTGTGCAACCTTTGGACAGACTCCTTGCCTTGGCTGGTGTGAAATTTCCCAGAGCACTTCAGGAGAGCTTCCCCATAATGACATTGTATTAGTTGCTTTCCAGTGCTCTGGTATCCTGACAAAACAAATACACTCTTGAGAGTGACTGCTTCCCCTCTTTTCATCTCAGGAAACTTGAATAGCCTGTAGGTTGTCTGGTCCTGACTTTAATGCCTTTGTTGTCACCAGTAATTTGTAGCTGCTCTGTACTATGCTCACAAATCTTATTTTCATTTAGACAAATTCTTCCCTAGTGAAGATCTCTAATATCTGTTCTGCAGCTCTACTTCAGCTTCTTTTTTCACTGTTTGCTATTTTTTTCACCTCCTACGTTTTTCTTACATGAATGTGGATCATGTCTTCCATTTCCTCCTCCTGTTAGATGTTCTTGACAATGGGGAAAATCCAATTGACCTTTATCTTCTCATTCTTCGCTCTCTTGATTATTTTTTAAGCTGCTGGTGTTTGCACATACACTGACATGCAGTGATAGCATCTCCACACTTCATCAGCTGCTTTATGTTAGATCAGGATTCTGTGCAACACTTCTCGTTGCTCACAGCAACAATAATATGGTTGCTGCCACTCCAAGCCTGGCAAATGTTGCATTACAAGGGATGTAATATGAAAGAAGTCTCATCATTAAAGAATCTTTCTATGACAAGAAATGGAACAGTGACACAATATTTTTTTGTAATTGGGTCAAGAACAGATCAAGACTTTCACCAAGAACTGCAGTCTAGGTGTGCTGCAGTCTCTGACCATATGGCTTGTTGAAGAAACTGTATAATGAAACCTGCTGGACTGTGTGCTCTCTCTTTGTATCCTACAGCTATTATAATCCCAGTTATTGTTAATGTAATTGAAATCCTTCATAATTAATGTTCTGGTCATTTTACAGGGAGTCTTTATCGGAAAACATTTCAAATTATGCCTTGTCATCTGTCAGTAGACCTCTGTAACACTTGCAATCTAGCTAAGGTTACTTCTCATTATTTCTTTAATAAACTGTCTCACTGTAATAGTCCAGCTGCTCAGGACTGTCTTTTCTTCTGGAAATGAAGCAAATTATGTTTACTGTAATAGCATGAGCCATTGCATTGGTTCTGACTACAATGAGTCAGTAGCCTATCCCTTATACACTAGAAAGTTCACTCCACAGGTATTTATATATCCTTTTATTCTGTCAGCAATTCAGCTACAGTGTATTTAAAAAGTCTGGATGAAAACTGGAATAATACCCATAATTTTTAACCCAAAGTGTCATTTATGTGAATAGGTGTCTACTTCCCAGTTTAGCATTCAGGCCCACATATATAAAACTCCACTTTTGCCACCAACCTCTTTAGAGACCCTACCAGAACTAACTTTTATATTGCTGGTACTCTTTGTTCTTATCTTATATATTTTCTTAAAATAAAAATTGATCATGCTTATCCTCCTTCTCCTCCTGTTTCTTTTTACCCACAACTCATTTTTTGTGCTCCTTCAAATCACTCCATTTCAGTCCCTACTTTTTAATCAGTGACACCTTTTTATATGTACCTATAATAACTACCTTATTTTTTCAGGTAAAATATTGTCATCCCATCTTCTTGATCAAAATATTCTACTAGCATTTTCGGGGCAGGAATTGTGTGTAGTGATAGTAAATACCGGGTGTTTCTGAAAGAAAAATAGTAGTAAAATATTCTGGCTCTGAACTTCATGCATTTGTAGACATTTCTGTGGAACATGTTACCATTGTGTTATATCTGCTACTTTGTTATTTAACCCTCACTAACCGATCTTTTAAATATGCTACTAAAAATACTGTTTACACCCTTTTGCAACTCTGTTATTCTCCCTAGGTTCACAATAGAACAGGAAATTGATCTGAAAGATGTTTTGAAAGGTCTTGGAGTTACAGAAGCATTTGGCCGAAGTGCTGATTTCACTGCAATGTCTGGTAAGAGGCCCCCTTTTTTTGGCTTTCGCATTACAGAATGAAGTCTCAGAAGTATCTGGTGAGGAGATTGCAAAGTTTGTCTCTTGCCAGTAAAATACCACTTGGGTTTTTTGACCCAAAAGGGAATTGCAGATTTCTCACAATGTTTAACTTTTTGTATTTGTAACAGTATCGTGAATATTTTCAGAGCCGATCTAAAAACAGAAAAAAAAAATATAAAAACAAATTCGGTTGAGTAGAGGCCACCTTTTGTCTTATGAACCATTCTTCTTAACCTTGTGTGACCAGAGATGCGGCTACTGAACTTGTATGGAAAAAACATGGTATTATTCAGGGTGTGGAACTCTCCAGCACTAAGACATTTTGAGGCCCAGTAAAGAACAATGCTGAATCTCTGTGACTCAATGGATTTGGTTTTTGGGGTTTGTTTGGTTTTTTTTTACCTCTAGCAATCTGGATTCAAATCACAAATGGATTGTCATCTTTTATCCCTAGAGGCCATTCATCCACAGCATTAAGGCATTGTGCAATTAGTCGTTTCCCCAGATACTTTCTATTTAGAATCAGTGGAAAGGAAACGTTTTATGAATAAGGTAAATGAGCATATTTGATGCATGTCTGTTCAGACCTGTTGTCAGCACTTTGTTTTCATAAGCACCATTTAGAAATGCATTTCAAATGGACCCAGCCAAAGCCAGTTGGATTTCTAATGACTGTAATGCCCTGGAAACATGTTGAATTGACAGTCACAAAGAGTGAGGAATATCCTCTTTCTCAGAATATTCCTCTCTTTTTTGCACAACAGAAACAGGCAATAGTAGCACAAGCTTTTCTTTAGTGTACAGCTAGTCTTGACTTTAAGGCAGAGAGACTTGTTTAGTCCCCAGGCTTATTGAATCCTTGCTTTGTAATGAAAAGAACGTTCCAATTAGGGCTGACCATAGTGTAGGTATAATTTACATTTATACAGCTCCCCCTTGTCCCAGTGCACTGCACTAGTTTAACAAATTGATATACAGTACACATCAAACTTCAGTGTGATGTGCATACTAGGAACTGGTCTATAGCAATAAACTACTATCAAACGATAAATTACTAAATGTCAGTTGTTCTGTGCTGGGTTTTCACTATTAACCCATAGGTGAAAAATTGTGTCTCAGTACTTAACACCAGAGCTACCAGGTTTCTTCAGGGGGGAAAAAAACCCTAGTGAATAATACATGTTGGGCCCCTGCATTCACACTGCATAGTCTGCATCAACTCTGAAGACCTTAGTTTCCAAAGGGGACTTTGCAGTCTCTTCTGCCCTCTCTTTCATCCTCAAAGCCCTATCCTAGAAGGGAAGTAGCTACATGCACTTATAAGGAAGGAGAGTCTCTTTTATGTATTGCTTAGTTAGGCAGAACAATTCTTGAGTAATTTGGGTGCATCCTTTCCCTATTGTCCTGCCTGGTTGAAATTTTGGGGACAAAAAGAAAACTGAATATTTCAACAAAAAGTTTAACTTTTTTTTCAACTCTTCCATCTTTTGAGCAAACTAGATGTTAAAATTTACCTTTGTTGATCTGTGTTGGGATAGTTCCGCATTTTTCGCTCCATCCTCTTCATATATCTAATTGTAAAATGAAAAAGGTTGGGAAGAAAGAAAAGCAAAAGAATAAATGCAAAGTTCTTCCAGTTTTTTGGAAACCTGTCAACTGAAAATTACTTTAATTCTCTGAAGTTTCCAAGAAGAACATCTTCCATTTCTTGACCACATTTAATGAAAGCATTGATTCCACAGTAGTTAGTCTGTAGAAACAAAATGAGGAAAGTATCTAAGGTAATTTTAAAATGGCATTTAATGCATGGCAGCTGCAAGGCACACCAGATCCTTTATCTGATGTGGTATAGCACCAGGACCTGAATACAGTAACTCTGTGAGCAAGAGGCCAGCAAATAGACTGAATTTGTTTGCATTCAGCCCATGACATTAATGGTTTGTTTAAAGATTTATATTTTGTACAGTTCTGCCTTACAGAACCAAGAAAGGGCTTAAAACCACATACTTATTATGTTTGAGTGCATTAACGTCTTGGCCATTTAAAGATTAAGTTGTTTATAGAGTAATGTAGAGTATTAAGTAAGGGAAGATAAATGTGTTGCGTTGTAGCACACTAATTTGCTTTACTGAATTAAGAACACATCCCAGAAGGTGTTGAAAAGGTCCTTCAGAGTTTATTCAATTAGAGCTTCAAAAATATTTCTTTTTTTCTATCTTTAAATTACTTGGAAATTTTGTCTTGGCAGAGTAAACAACAGTATTCTAGTTACTTTTCTTTCCTATAAGAGGTTACTTTTTTATGTTTAATCTTCATGCCACAAAAGACTAAAAATAAACTTTTATACAAAAATTGTAAGTGTTATATTCTAAACTGTGTGCGGAGTATGCTTGAGCCATTAGGAAAAAAAGTAGTTTCCCCTTTTCTCCTTTGCTTCTGCATTGGCACGTTACAATGGAAAGCCCTTCTGAATTTCCAGGAAATGGTTCTAATTCTGTAACCAGCCACAGAATTTGACTTCAGTGGAGTTCTGCTTGTGATCATGTGTCAGCCAGTGCACCATTTAGGTTGTTTTATTTTTTCCCCTTCATTCATTTTGAAAATGAAAATGACCTAACTAGTCAGTTGTATTTTTTTAGATGCCTAGAGCAGTGGTCTCCAAAGAGGGGTGCGCAAGATGATCCATTGGGGTGCGGGAAGAAAATATTAGAACGTCTATTTATATTGGGGGTGCGTGCTCAAAAATGTTTTACTGATAGGCGTGCATGAATATAAATATACATATATTGGGGCTGCGTGCTCAAAAAATTTTTACTGATAGGGGTGCGTGATCAGAAAAGTTTGGAGACCACTGGCCTAGAGGATGAAGGCTAAGTACAGTCATTTGGGGGATTTAGGGGGAGGTTAAATAGATTCAAAATGGCTGCCCAATATCAGGTAAGTCGGAATAGGGGGCTAGCGGTGGGGTTGGGGGCCTTACTTGCTCGGCTCCAGCAGCTGCGAATGCTGATAAGTGGCTGCATCCAGAACGCCTTGTGGCATGGGATTTGAGAAGGCCGGTTAGTTGGGGCGAAGGGGGTTGAAAAGAGCAGCTAGGGGCTGGGGCCAATGGCTGGCTTTTCCCAGCTCTGGGGCTGCAAAAGGAAAGTGTACAGAAGTTCCATGCTCAGTTTTGACCTAAATCAAATTAATTTGATACTACATAGATCCAGGTTCATCTTAAACTTGGTTCTGCAATTTTTAGACAAGTTTGTGTGGATGGAGCTTTTGTACAGTTACAGGTTTAGACTGATTGCCCATCACTGAGACTGGGTCTGTAAGTGTAAAGTTGTCATTAGGATGAGCTGATTTTAAATCAGGTGGCCATTTTGAACTTGATTTAACCTCCCCAAATGTTTGTACTTAGCCAAAGTCAGGAAGAGTATATGAATGCAGATGTAAGGCTTGGGTATAATGGGCTTATTGAACCAAAAGTCTTTATCACTGGAAGTGACGTAGAAGAATGAAGGAAGTGTCCCTATCTACCGGTGGTATGCTTAGGATATATTCTACTTTGGCTTTCCCCTCTGCACAAGAAAGAAAAGCAGTTTCTATGAGCCTGCTGACTCCATTCCTTCCTTTGAAAAAACCTTTTAAGAAGAGCTTGAACTAATGAGCAAAACTTTGTTTTCTGGTGGGGTGCTAAATGCTTATAACAGCTGATAAATACTCTGTTATCAAGAAGGGGTGGGAACCCCTCCCTAATCAAAGCATCCTGGCGGGGCCTGGCCATGCCCTCCCCCCCCCACTCAGCACTGTAGAAGGAAAGGGAAAGCTGCTTTAGCACCCCCTGGCTTCTAGCCTGAGCCACTGCAAGCATGTACTGGCATTTTCTCAGTCCAGAGAGGATGTCTGTGCGGTTGGTTAGAAGCCGGTTCAGCTTAGGCAGGTTAGACTAACCTGTAAAGATTGAATCAGTTCAGGCTTTTTGAATGTCTGTCCCTAGAACTATTGATATTAGACAAGAGGTAACATGGATACTGGTTTTTATAAAGAGTTTGTTCTTGTAAACTATACATACAAGGCTTGGCATTTTTGCCATTGGACTCCATCCTTTAGAAGTTCTGTCTTACAAACACTTCCTGTATACTTCCAAATAAGTACGACATTCGTCATTTTTATCCTGAAGTAATCTGTAGTGCGTTGGACTGCTACAATGGCAGCTGCTTTTATCTCCAGAGCTGACCTGCACTTCATTCAGTGAAGTAATCTTTTGGGCCTTATATGTCAAGTGTGGAGTTAATGGGAGGTTTAAAACCTTATTAGAAGTCCCTAAAGTTGTTGTAGCTGAGAAAGATGTCATTCCTTTGGGCTTGTCTGAGCCTGGGAAGTCTGTGCTACTTGCTTGTAGTTGCACAAAATCAGAGAAGAGTGAGGAACCTAGAAACAACCTTGTGATTAAATTAAGGAAGTGTGCAGAACTGAGTATAATGACAGGTGAAATTTGCCTCTTTCACCATTGTGCATGTTGGAAAGAATACTTCAAATTATTCTAGTGCATTATTTTGCACAAAGCTGCAACTTTTATATGTGCCTGAGCAAGTTTGAATTTTCATGGGATTGTAGCCTCTAAAACTCTTAGGCTCCTCTGTAAATCTCAAAGTGAAAAATCTAAATTAACCATAGCCACTTGGAACAATGGCCTGAGCATCACAGTGAGACTGTCAAATTTTAAGACACCCGCTTATTATGCAGTGGGATATAAAATACTGATGTATATAATAATACTATTGCATAAATTACACATTCAAATTTTAAATACTATGGTCAATTACAGTCTCACTATGTCCAAAAAAATTGTAGCATAGCAGAAATAAAGAGGTGCCAGGTGACACATACTGATTACCACAGTGGAGATACTGATTACCCTTGCACATAAAGCGAGATTGAAAAGACTTGAGATTTTTTTCATTTGGCGAG